CTTATTTTTTCTTTCTTTTGTCTTTTCCCTTCCTTTCTCTCTCTCTTCTTTCTTTATCTTCCTTCCTTTCCTTTTTCCTCTTTCTCTTCCTTTGTTTTTCTTTCTTTTTCTTCCTTTCTCTTCCTTCTTATTTTTTCTTTCTTTTGTCTTTTCCCTTCCTTTCTCTCTCTCTTCTTTCTTTATCTTCCTTCCTTTCCTTTTTCCTCTTTCTCTTCCTTTGTTTTTCTTTCTTTTTCTTCCTTTCTCTTCCTTCTTATTTTTTCTTTCTTTTGTCTTTTCCCTTCCTTTCTCTCACTCTTCTTTCTTTATCTTCCTTCCTTTCCTTTTTCCTCTTTCTCTTCCTTTGTTTTTCTTTCTTTTTCTTCCTTTCTCTTCCTTCCTGTTCTTTCTTTCTTTTTTCCTTTCCCTTCCTTTCTCGCTCCCTTCCTTTCTTCCTTTCCCTTCCTTTTCCTTCCCTCCCTCCCTCCCTTTCTTTCTTTCTTTCTTCCTTCCTTCCTTTCTCTTTCTTTTTTCTTTCTCTCCCTTTCTTCCTCTCTTTCTTTTTTCCTTTACTTCTCTTCCTTTCATTCTTTCCCTTCCTTCCTCTCTCTCCTCCTCCCTCCCACTCTTTCTTTCTTTCTTTCTTTCTTTCTTTCTTTCTTTCTTTCTTTCTTTCTTCAGAGAACAAGGGCAAACAGTGGCAAGCACAACATTGCTGCTGCCTCTCTCTCTCCCTCGCCCCCTCCCCTTTCTCAGCAGGGTTGGCTGTAAATGAACAATTAGCACATTTATAGAAATACAGATTCGTCCCTCCCCCCCCCCCCCCCCCCTGCACCGAAGACATGGCTGAGAACAACATGGCAGCCGTTGAGATTTGGAGAGTGCACTGATTTTTGCATAGTTTGGGGCTCGGAGACCTTGTTTAAATTCCAGTCAGGAGCTAATCAACATCTTGCTGGACGTGATGAGGGAGCAAATGGAATCGGCATCAGCTATGCAAAACAGCCACTGGCAATTTCTCTTGGCCAGCCCCCAGGTGAGTCTTCAGAACGTTTGTTGATGGTCCACCACAGGGATGGCGTGAAGCCCCAAGTTGCTTGTGCAATACTCCTCCCTGACTTTGCGGTTCAGAAAGGGCTCTCGCAAACCCAGGCACTGTGAATTTTGGCCATGATGGAAGGTATGGAACCGGAATGCCTGTCCATTGATTGGACAAGGATATTGTTTTCCAATTTTTTCTGGTGTTCCTGCGGTTCGGGTTTTACGAAGGAAGCAAAGACGGACGCCAACTGTTGGCTTTGTGTAGAGACGGAACTAGATCCAGATCCACCACAAGTCGTCCTCGACTTGCGACCACAATTGACCCCCCCAAATTCGGTTGCTGAGCGAAAGGAGCTTTGACCCATTTTATAAACTTCCTTGCCACGATGGTCAATAAGCGAATCAATACTGGTGTTAAGTTAGTAACACAGTTGTTGAGTCAATCTGGTTTCCCCATTGACTTGCTTGTCAGAAGGTTGCAAAAGGGGGAATCATGGGACCGAGAGCCATTGCAATTGTTGTTCTGATCTAGGCTTCCCAAAAGCACAAAGCCGACTCCTCGTCCTGATAAAACCCCTTTTATTTAGTTGAAAGGGAATTCCTCTCCAGCAAAGTCCTGGCCAACAGTCTTTCAAGAGATTTCACAACTACAGACCTTTATCAGGCTTGGACAGCTGCCAAGCTGATATCTTCCAAACGCCATGCTGTAGCAGCAATTACCTGGCAAGAAGTCAGGAACAGATCTTCACCCTAATGAANGGATGGATGGGAGGGAGAAAGGAAGGAAGAAGAAGGAAGGAATAGGAAAAAAGGATGCATGAAAGGAAAGAATAGGAAAAAAGAAAGGAAAGAAGGAATAGAAAAAAAGAAAGGATGGATAGATAGATGGAAGGAAGGAATAGGAAAAAGGATGGATGGGAGGGAGAAAGGAAGGAAGAAGAAGGAAGGAATAGGAAAAAAGAAAGGAAGGGAGGAATAGGAAAAAAGAAAAGATGGAAGGAAGGAATAGGAAAAAAGGATGGACGGAAGGGAGAAATGAAGAAAGAAGGAAGGAAGGAATAGGAAAAAAGAAAGGATGGATAGATGGAAGGAAGGAATAGGAAAAAAAGGATGCATGAAAGGAAGGAATAGGAAAAAAGAAAGGAAGGGAGGAATAGGAAAAAAGAAAAGATGGAAGGGAGAAAGGAAGAAAGAAGGAAGGAAGGAATAGGAAAAAAGGATGGATGAAAGGAAGGAATAGGAAAAAAGGATGGATGGAAGGGAGGGAGGGAGGGAGAAAGGAAGGAAGGAAGAAGGAAGGAATAGGAAAAAAGAAAGTATGGAAGTAGGAAGGAAGAGGAAAGAAGAAAAAGAATGGAAGGAGGAAAAGAAAGGAAGGGAGGAAGAGAAAAAAGATTTAAAAGAAAAGTAAAAGAAGAAAAAGAATGGAAGGAAGAAAAGAAAGAAAGAAAGGGAGGAAGAGAAAAAAGATTAAAAAGAAAAAGAAAAGAAAGGGAAAGAAAGAAAAAGAAAAGAAAGAGACACTACCTTGGAATGACAATCAACTAAGAAGCAATTATTTTTCCGGTGCCCACGCATGCTTAGACATCTTTTCATTTTTTGTAAATTCAGATTGGAAAGCTATAAATAGTTTATCCGTGTCGCTTAGCAACATCCATATGGGCCTTTCATGTTCAATAAGACTCACTTGGTCTTCCTGTAAGGAAAGAATAGCAAATCCCGGATAAAAACAACAGAAGCCGTTTTATAAACCTTTGTCAGGGAAAAGTCTTGGCTAGTTCTTAGCGGTGCCAAATAAAGGGATTTCGGAGTGATCAGCCTTTGGAAACATCCGGCTGCAGCTGCCTTTCATGTGGGCTCTGTTTGCTGAATCGAAAGAGGAATAAAATGCACAGAATAGTCTTGAGAACCACAACAAAAAGGCCAGTTCCGTAACTTGAAACTGGGTACAGTTAGAGACAATTTTTCTCCTTGTTGCTCCTGGGTGTTCATTATTTTTTTTACTTCAAGTGGATCACTCATGAAACACCATCATAAGCTGCAGGGAAAATATGTTGAAGGAAGGGAGGGAGGTGAGAGAAAGGAAGGAGGAGAGAAGGAGAAATAAGAGAAAAGGAAGGAAAGGAGGAAAGAAAGGAAGGCAGGGACCATGAGAGAGGAAAGGAGGAGAGAAATAAGGGAGGAGAGAGACAAAGAAAGGGAGGGACGGGGAGGGAGAGAAAAGAAGGAGAAGGAGAAATAAGAGGAAAGGAGGAGAGGAGAAAAGGTGAATAAGAGAAGAAGGGAAAGAGGAAAGAAGAAAAGAAATAGGAAGGGGGCTAGAGATGAAGGGAGAACCGTGAGAGAGGAAAGGAGAAGAGAAATAAGAGACAGAAAAGGAAGAAAGGGAGGTAGGTGAAAGCATGGAAGGAAGATAGAAGGATAAATAAGTGGGAGAAAAGGAAGGAAAGGAGAGAAGGGAAGGTGAGTGAAGGAAGGAAGGAAAAGAGGAAAGAAGGAAGAAATAGAGGGATAGAGATGAAGAAAGGAACCATCAGAGCGGAAGAAAGGAGAGAAATAAGGGACGAGAGAAAGGAAGGACGGGAAGAAGGGCCACAGGGTGAGAGGAAGGGAGGAGAGAAGGATAAATAAATGGGAGAAAAGGAAGGAAAGGAGGAGAGAAGGGAAGGTGAGTGAGGAAAGAATGGAAGGAAAAGAGGAAAGAAAAGAAATAGGAAGGGGGATAGAAATGAAAGGGGAGAGAGAAGGGAGGGAGATGGAGAGAAAGGAAGGTAGGAGAGGAGAGAAATAGAAAAGGAAGGAGTGGGTAGGGCAAGAGAAAAGGAAGAGAAAAGAAGGAAAGGGGGAGGGAGGGAAATAACCTAGGGCTTTTAAACTCTTAAATCTTGGCTGCTTTGTGTGGACTTCAACTCTCAAAGTTTCCCAGCAGGAATGATGAAGGCTGTAAATCTCTGGGATTTGAAGTCCAAACAGCTTAAAGTGGCCAAGTTTGGAAAAACGCAGGTTTAAATCATTAACTTTGATCAAGCTACAGGGGCACTTTTTACAGACAAACCTGACAGAAGCAATGGGTGGAAACTAATGAAGGAGAGAAGCAACTTAGAACTAAGGAGAAATTTCCTGACAGAACAATTAATCAGTAGAACAGAATTTGCCTCCAGAAGTTGTGAACATTTTTAAGAAGATGTTGGATACTCATTTGTCTGAAGTGGTGTAGGGTTTCCTGCCTAAGCAGGGGGTTGGACTAGAAGACCTCCAAGATCCCTTCCAGCTCTGTTATCCTATCCTATCCTATTCTATTCTATTTGTTTTACATTCTATTCGTTTTACATTCTATTCTATTATGTTATATTCTATTCTATTATGTTATATTCTATTCTTTCTATATTCTATTCTCTTCATTTTCTATTCTGTTCTATTCTATTCTATTAGCAACCAACTGGACAGTCCTTTCATTATCTTCTTTCTTCTGTTTTCTCCCAACTTCTTCCTTCTCCCTCAGTACACCATCAACGGAAAGAAGGTGGAAGTGGCTGTCAAACAGGTCATCGCCGGCAAGGAAGTGGCCAAGCGGGATATCTTTTCTAACCCGGAGACGCTCGATCTCTACCGTAATATTCCTGAGCTGCAGGATTTTTGAAGGAACCTCGTCTCTTCCCGTCTCTTGGTGTGAGTGTGTGTCTCTATGTGTGTTTGCGTGCGTGCATGTGCGTGCGTGCGTGTCAACTTATATCCGGTGTATATAATACGTATATGGATGATATCCATAAAAGAAAATTGACTCGAGCGACCTTCTTTCCAGACGGGGACAGGAAAAATCTAATCTGATTTATACTGAGCGCTTTGGGAAATAAGAAGGGCTAAAATTTAATCTGTATGGATTTGGGGATATCAGTCGTGATTTACTTCCAGCTCAGAAAAATGGGAATCTGAACTCTGGGCAGAATTTTTCCCCAACCTAGGTGCTAAAGAATGTTTATCATTTTGAAAAGCAAGAATGAGTCTCGGAGGTGGGCGACGCCAGGATGGCTGAGAAAGAGAGCTTAAAATGGCGGGCTGAATATTTTCGGCAGATGTTTCTCAGTGGGTAGGTGAGAAAAAACCTCTGGAAGAGCCACTCGTTACTTGTCTCCAGGCGTGGAATTCCACCGGTTCGTATCGGTTTGGGCGAACCGGTTGCGCCAATGATCAGCTGGGAAAGAATTGGTTCACCCCGACGATCAGACAGGCCGCTTACCCACGCTATTTCCCACCTTTATCTTCTCAGCTGATTTGCGCGGCAGAGCAGACTGCCGCGCGAATCAGCTGGGTTACTCCTACAAAGAAACCCGAAAGTGAAGATTTCTTCAAACTATGCGCGCAGCGCAAATCGCGCAAACCGGTTGTTAAATCGGGAGGATCTCACCACTGTTTGTCTCGCTGTGGGTGGTTTGCAGGAAACTTGAAGAGCATCTTCTCGGTTGAGGTGGAACATGGGTAGGAAGATAACGGAGGTAGCTGGCATCTTGGAAAAATGAGCTTTTTAATAATGTCCTGTCCTCCTCCCCCCCCCCCAATCCTTAACCCTATGCGACCAACTTTTCCACTTGAAAAAAGTTTGCTAGCGCAGGTGAACATTTGTTTTGCTTTATTGTTTTTTTAAAAAAATAAGGGAGAGAGAGAGAGATGTACTTTTTATTTAACTTTGAAAAAACAAACAAACTCAACCATTACAGGAACCAGCAACATTTTCGGGTCAACTTTGTAAAAAGGACTCGGATTTTGAAGAAAGATGAAAAGAGGTATGGGTTTTTTTGTGGGTTTTTTTGGCTGTGGGTTTTGGGGTTTTTTTGGTTGGTGATCCTTAGCTGGTGTTTCTTTTCATGCAACCGTCTAGTTCAGTGGTCTCCAACCTTGGCAACTGGTACTCTAGATGATGGTCTCAGTCCCACGAGCCTGTGGGATGTTTTTTTTTTTAAAAAATCCAATCTGGTTTGGCACTTTTTGTGCAGGTTTTTGGTTTTGGTGGAAGGTCAGAGTCTAGAATTAAAGTCTAGAATTAAAAGCAAAACTGCTTAAAATTCGAGGAAGCCTGTGGCGATATTAAGGTGTCTGGACCTCAAACTGAAGTCCAGGGCGCCTTAAAGTTGGCAATGGTTGAGAGAAACAAAGGCTTAGATATATTTACTGGGCAATCACAGATCTTCTGTGGCTGTGATCAGCCCCTCGTTTTTAAGGGTCACATTTTTTTTCAACGGGCAGCAATTTTGAGCCCAGGATCTTTGATTCTAATTGAGGATACTTCATCAGCCAAGAATCCTTTTTAAACAGTTGTCTCCATATGGCCAGGAGTTCCAAAGGCACTGACGAAAGCAACGCGTGGCATGCTTGTGAAGTCCTACGGAACCATACAAGATTTGCACTTAAAACGTCGGGGGGGGGGGGGGAATAATCCCAGAAGCATTCACTTTGAGGTCAGGAATAAAGACTCTTATCCATGGTGCAGTGGGATGGCAGACCCATCATCCACACCTGGCTGTCTGGAGGAGTTTGGAGTCCAGCAGTTTCTTGGATGGGGGAGCCCTATCCTTTCTCGTCCAAGTGTGAGAAAGCGATTGTGCAAGGCGCTTGTTTAAATGTGGGTGTAAACACAATTATTGGGTGGAGGGAGAATTCCTGACCTCAAAGTGAATGCTTCTGGGATTATTCCCCCCCCCCCCCCCGC